TAAGACGATATGAAGACCAAGCTAGTGGTGCCTCTGTTTTAGGCGCTGCCTCATTTCTAAGTATAGAAAATCTGTCATTTTGTTAGAGAGACTTAGTTAAAGACATCTTGTTCAGAGTCCTCTGCCATAGAAGTAAAGATACCTTCCAGTGTCGGATCATATGCCTATTACATTACAATTTATCCTTATTTATCAAAAAGAGTAAGTAATTTATCCAATTTATTATCGTATAGACAAAATAGTGAATCGTCAAGGATATATTAAGTCCAAGCGAATAAGACAGTCAAAAGCTGGTTTCTCTCGGGACCGGAAAAAACGCGAAAAATAGTAAAGTTCTAAGGGGAGAGTTGGGGAATCGAGGAATACGTGAGTCTAGTTTACTGTGGCTTTGGAGGGCAATACCTCCTTGAGCTTAGGAACATCGGCGTACTGGAGCTGGTCCTTCGAGGCCACGTACTCGGCGATGTCCAGCGCCAAGACACAACTCTCGCGGACCACCTGAACCGGATCATGAAGGCCAGCTTGCAGACAGGCCATTGCCCGCCTACTCACGGCGGCCAGCTCCTCGTCGGCTTCGGATAACCGAGCCTCGCCAAGAACTGCACCCAGAGCCTCGGCCGCCTCGTGACGCACCATCGAGTGCTCCCCGGTCACCGAAGCACCCGCCGATCTGCTCGTCGACGGTGAAGTTGACCCGTTTTCGGTTGAACTGTGCTGCTTCGGAGAGGTCGGCGGTCCGGCCTTGATGCAGGCAATGAGGTAGTCCGCGGTGCTCGGCATCGCCAGTTGGCCGAGGACAAAGGCGACCTCATGACGCAGCAGAGAACTGCCGGGAGCCGAAAGACACTTGCCCAAAAGATCGGCGGCAGCCGTGCGCTCCGGCTCGGAGAGATGAGCATCAAGAGCACGCTTGCGCAGAGTGAACAGCGCCCGATATCGCTCAAAGAGGCTGCGATGCCCGGCTGGGGCTGGCCGGACGACGGCGCCATCGGACGGCCCGACGGCTTGCGCAGAGGCCATGAGGATGCCGAAGAGCTGGTCAGGCGTGTAGAGATTGGGGGGAAAAGCGGGCGCTGGATCTACCGTGTCGGGGAGGTCTCCGCATGAGGCTTGGCTGGTAGGGAACTCCGTCTCCAGCCACTCGAGACGAGCCAGGCCCAGTTCGCAAGTGTCGGCAAGCTGAGGTACGAGAGAAGGAGGCTTGCAATACAGTCACATCAACATGCGTACATTCACATTACCAGCGAGAAACGCTAATCTGCTCGAGAAAGTCTACAGACAATTCGTAACTAGACCCAAAGGAAATAGATGCGAAGAAAGTTGGGTTTCGATCACTTTATACTTGATCAAAGAGGCTAGATGGAGGGTATATATACCACTTTTTAGGGATTTGCTGGTGGGTTTTCTTGACTCGTTAGCTCGAATTTCGTTGTAACTATGTTACCTCGCTCTGATGATGTTCGTCATGCAATGGACGAAAGCTTAGCACCTTTTCACCGGAATCGAAAGAGATTGCCTCGGAAACAGCGTCAGCATGAATGTTCTAGTAAAGCTAATCGACAGTTGATCCAGAGGAATCCGCTGTCTTCTTTTGGTTGAATCGACCTTCGAAACTCTTTACCAAACACTTTCATCCGAAATGGATGTAAGCTTAACAATTAGAAAACAATAGATTCCTCGAAACCCAACTTTTCCTCGAATAGACAATGTTTTTGATAATTCTGCCCTTATTTGATATTCTCTTAATTTACTTTCGTCTAGAAAGGATTTCAAATGTCTCTATAATCTTCTGCTCATCAGTGCTGTCACCGAATGATGACCCTCTTTCTTTACCTATTTCTTAAGCGAAATCTGATAGAACCAGAATACGGAAAGGCCAACAAAAAAGGAGACGACTAGATCAAGGACATAGGGTTAACTAAAGAATAGGCGATAGTAAGCAAGGACATTTTAAAATCAAAAGATGACGCTCCAAGTGAGTGTAGTTTTCTCGAAGAAACAACTACAACTTTAGTTGGCTGGCAGTCACAAGAATAGGGAGTCGGACAATTACAACCGTCAAAGATATTCGACACTATGGTTAGTAGATCAGAGCCAAATTGACGAGAAATCCACTCAATATGCAACAGGAGACCAGAAATAGACATTCACAATTTTCGGAGGCAATCTCCTTCGATTCCGGTTAAAAGGTGCTAAGCTTTCGTACGTCATATGACAAACATCATCAGAGCAAGGTTTTCTTGACTTGCTAGCTTAAATTTTGTTGTGACGATGTTACCTCGCTCTGATGATGTGCGTCATGTGATGGACGAAAGCTTAGCACCTTTTCACCGGAATCGAAGGAAACAGCCTCGGAAACAGCGTCAGCATGAATGTTCCAGTAAAGCCACTCGACAGCTGGTCAAGAGGAATCCGCCGTCGTCTTCTGGTGGAACCAACCTTCAAATCTCTTCACCCAACAC